CTGCGGTGGCCCGGGAGCGGCTACTGCACTCCAGTCTGGGTGACCGAGTGAGACTCCAACTCAAAAAAAAAAAAGGACTGAGGGTTTGGGGCATATGTTTGCCTTCTGGAGACTTGGTGGACTCTCTTAGCTCCAGAAGACTCTGAATATAAGGATTTCTCATTAGAAATGGAAAGTGTTGAAGAACTCTGAAGCTCCTTTGCCTAACAACTCAACCTGGGGGGCTCAGTCACACCTCGCGAGTCTTTGGGATTCAAACTTTTTTCTCCCTGATTTAACTTGAGTGAGAATAGCATGAGGACCCCTGGGGAGCCCCCACAAACACATCAATCCCTCTTATACCCATAATTTTATTACTGGGGATTATTTCTTCGGGGTCAGATAATTTTCTCTCTTCCTTTAAAATTCATTAATTCACTCAATAAATTTTATTATTATTATTATTACTTTAAGACCCTACTGTGTGCCAGGTTCTGTAGTGGGTACTGGGGAGACAGTGAGGAAACAGAGTAGAGAAAGATGATTTTTAAAAGCCAAAAGAACTTTAAGCAGTGGTGTTGACTATGATGACAAAGTGGAAGGAATGGTGGGAGAGAGGACCTGAGGATGGAGAGAGGCTCCTTTAGACCAAGGGGTGCAAGTCGGCCTAAGTGAGGAGAGGTCACAGAGCTGAGCTGAACTGTGGGTAGGAAGTGGCCACGGGAGGGTCAAAAGGAGGAGGGTCCCAGGTAGAGGAGACAGCAGGGACGGAGCAGGGGATGAGCTTGGTGTGCTTGAAGAACACACAAACATCAGCAGGGTTGGAACCCAGCAGTGGGGGAGGCAGGGGACAGATGGACACGTCCAGTCCTAAGCCCTGGTACCTGTGAATGTGGCCTCATTTGAAAATGGGGTTTGTGCAGATGTCATCAAGATCTCAAGATGAGATCATTCTGGATTTAGGGTGGGCCCTACATCTGTCTACGTAGGAGAGATGTGGGGGAAATTGGAGACACCCAAGTACAGCGGAAGGCTATGGGTGGAGATGGGGGCGGAGACCCGAGAGATGCGTGTGCGAGCCATGGGATGCCGAGGACAGGGGATAACCTGGTGCTTCCAGAAGTTGGAAGAGGGAGGGAAGGATTTCAGGGTTGCAGGCAGAACTCAGGGGAGAGGAGAGAGTCTCCCTCAGAATCTCTAGAAAGAACCAGCTTTGCTCTTAATTTTGGAGTCCTGGCCTCTAGAACTGTGAGAACATCTATTTCTATTATTTTAAGCCACCAAGTTTATGGTAATTTGTTATCAGTTATGGTAGTTTATTAGAGTTTATTAGGGTTATGGCAACTCTTATATGAAAGGTGAATAACTGAAGCAAAGAGTAGGTTATCTTTAAAAAACCTAAACTAAACAAACAAGAAAACCCAAAAAATCCCCCACAACCCTCTGGTTGCTGTCCAGAGAATGGACTGCATAGGCAGAAAGAAAAAGTGGATGCAGGAAGCCAGAAAAGAGACAAATGTAGTGGGAAGCTAATGGCGGCTTGAGTGAATGAATGAAGGAAGGAAGGAAGAAAGGAATGCACCAATACAAGGGAAGCGAAAATACTCGCAGATGACTGAGTTGACCTTGCCAGGGATGAGCTGGGGAATGGGACATACTCTGCTAGGCTGGTTTTGCTCTGACAGCTCTCAGGATGGGCTTCCTGGGAGCTGGGGAAGGGGACAAGTGAAAGAGGTCAGGGACTGGTCATCCCCTCCTCCTCGTGGGCAACAGGTGCCCAGTGCGCGAGTGAAGGGGCACCATGCTCAGCTTCCATCTCTCCAGGCCCAGCTTGAAGACCCCCTGGCTCCTGACGTGTTCCTAGCTTCTGTCCCCACTCCACACACATCGTTCCTCCGCCTCTGCCGCGGGCCTCCCTAGGAGTGCCCGGCCACTGTTCTGCCCCCAAGGAAGCTGCTGGCCCCACACACTAGACTGAGATTTTTAGAAAGCAGCACCACTCCTTGTCTTTGGCCCCTACAGCAGCAAACCCAGGACCCTGCACTAAGCAGACACTTGCAGACCTCAGCTACCAAGTCGTGCAAGGCTCGGCCATGACACACACACACACACACACACACACACACACACACACACACGTGCGCACCAGAACTCCAAGTCAGTGAGAACCTGGAAAGAGCACGAGACACACTTCCCTTTCCGGTCCTGGTGTCCTCTCTTCCCCAGCGACAGCCTGCCTCCAACCAGTTGGCACGAAGCAGGAGCCAGGTGCCTTTGTTTCTGCACCCTGAGCTGATTTATGAAGGAACTGTAAGGAACAGGGCATGTGACAGAGGTGCATGCTGGCTCTGGCACCGCCCTCCCCGCATAGACAAGCCAGGCCACCTACCTCTGCCTTGGGGATGGCTCCCATGGTTTGAACCTCACTGCTGGTCTCTGGTTGTGCATGGTCCGTCCTGGGGCTGCAGCCTGGCTTGAGAACAGCCCCCTCCTCTTGCTTCCCCTTGCCTTTCTCCTGCTCGGGGATGTCGCTGCTCCCCACTCCTCCAGAGAGGGTTTGGGGGGCCGCCTCCCTCACAGCTGCCTCCTCTGGCTTCTTTGTGTTTTGGCTCTGATGTCCAGGCCCTGCCTCTTGATTTTGCGCCCCCTCCACCTTCACCTTTGCAGACACTTCTGCCTCTGCCTCCTCTCCAGCTGGTTTTGCCTCCCTGGGGCTCCCGCATCCACTCTCTGCCTCTGGGCTGGAGGTGTGAGGTGATTCTGGGGCTTCCTCCTGGGCCCGGTGCCTTCCAGCCTCCTCCTCTGATCTCCGTGCAGCCTTCTCGCCTTCCTGGGCTTCCTCAGTAGCCCTGTCCTTCTCCTGCTTCTCTGTCCTGCTGGATGACCTCCTCAGAGGAGGCTTCTCCGTGGGCCCCAGGTTTCTCCTTGCTCCCTCTCCTGCCGCCCCCTTGCTGGGCGGCAGGGACCCTGGGGCCTTGCTCTTAGATGGGAACACCTCATCCCCCTCCTCTTCCTTGGCACCATTCTCCTGCGATGACTCCGCCGCCCTGAAGTCTCCGAGGTCCCCACAGTCCGACTGTGACCTCCGGAATCGTCTGGAGGGAGGGCGCCTTTTGATTGAGCCCCTGGTCCGCACCTGGAAGAAGGCAGGAAGGAAATTTATTATCCCAAACCTGCAAGAAAGGCCACAAGGAAGACTGTGCGTCCTTTCAGTGTCAGCCTGAAGCACTGCTCAGCAAGTCCGCCCAAGGGCCACTCCATTTCCTAGGAGAAAGTATCATTGCTTGCTGTTTTTATAGGTGGAGCCCTGTGGGACTGTAAAATTATAAGGTGGCCTACAGACTCCTCTCTCATGAAGATGCAAATGCTTTCCAGTAAAATAGATAACTTAGGAGTTTATTGCACTGTAAAACATTAACTAGTTTGGTGTCTAACTTAGCAATTTTATTTTGGAATTAGAGTCTCACTCTGCCACACAGGCTGGACTGCAGTGGCACAATCACGGCTCACTGCAACCTTGACCTCCTGAGCTCAGGAAATCCTTCCATCTAAGTCTCTCCTGAGTAGCTGGAACTACAAGCTACCATGCCTAACTAATCTTTCGATTTCTTGTAGAGACAAGGGCTCACTATGTTGCCCAGACTGGTGTCGAATTCCTGGACTCAAGTGATTCTCCTGCCTTGGCCTCCCAAAGTGCTGGGATTACAGGTGTGAGCAGCTGGCCTATTCTAACCTTTTTTTTTTTTTTTTTAATTCCCTATAATCAGTTCTTCAAACACTCTTTGAGTGAGCCTTTCCATCTCCATAAATCAACAAGTTGAATAACGTCTCTATTTCGTGTAAGAGTCATGTTTTAACATGTTGAAAAGTATACTTTCACAAAGGTGAATCCGACAGAGAAGGGGGCTCAAGGCTTGCTGATGACCAGGCCTGGGCCAGGAACCTCGTGGGTCCTGAGCTGGACAGCTGGTGACCATGCCCTTCCTTACTCAGCTTGGCCCTCCCCATTCCCCCAATGCTGGCTGGGAACCCTGAGTTGCCAAGTCCTTTGCTTTCTAGGTGTCAGGTCCACCGCCATCAGAAGCCATTCCTGAGGGGCACCCAGAGATGACCTCTCTGGGAAGTGTGTGAATCTCAGGGGCCGGCCCCACCTGGGCCCACTGGACCCATACTGGATGCCCGCCTTACTCAAGTAATGTGTACTGTCAACATTTATGCGTGAAACAAATGTTTGTAAGTCTTACTTTCCCACTGATCTCCATTTTGGTATTTGTCAACCCCAGCTCCATCTCAGAGGTCTGGGATGAACACGAGGTTTATAAGGTCCTCTCAGGCCCTTTCCTGAGACTGCTGTGACACCAGTTCTACAGGGTGTCAAGGCTCTGTCTCTCACAACAAGTAAGGTCCAGAAATCATTTTGCCTGCTCCCTGGCCGCTGTCAGAGGGCAGAATCCTCCAGGCCTTATGACCAAGTGGCAGCCCCTCCCTCCCTGCCACTTGCTATCCTGCTTCCTGTGAGAAGCCCAGGCTGTCCACCTGGCTCCTGTCTGCTCTCAGGGGTCTCCACCACCCCCGCCCTGGGCTGGAGAGCCTCCGCTCTGGCCCAATCCTTAAGCTCCCGCTGGCCCCTCACCTCCTTACCACATTTATTTCCTTGGACCCTCCCTGTTTTTATACACTTGATCTTTTTTGCTAGATAGATTTCCTGGGGAATGGCCTAGAAGACCTCACTTCTTGATCCTTAATTCCAAAATCATTTCCCTGAAGCATATCCTGGCATCAGATGCCCTTAAAACCTGGCCCCTGCCTGGATCTGGCCCACATTTGCTGGGTACCTGCTTGGATGTGTCTCTGGTTCTTACCTCCTCCTCCTAGGGCCAGGGATCTGATGAGGACACACAAAGGATCAGGGCAGCATCCACAGAAGTGAGCCCTGCTGAGCACCTTTTTGCAAAGGGCCCAGGTCCGCTGTTCTTTAACTGGGGCAAACTGCAGGAAGAATGATCTAAGCCCACACTGAGACACTCAGGATATTCACGTCAGGCCGGAACAGGATGCTGTGGAGTCCCTTGCCCCCGCCCAGCTCCTGTGGAAATTATTGATCGCCAGGCCTTCAGCGTTCCTTTTCAGCTTTCGACATGAGCTCGGTGTGACTGGGGTCCAGCCCAAATTCCCACCCCCTCTCCACAAAGGCTAGAGCACCCTAGCCCCCAAGCCCGCCTTCTAGGCCAATGGCACAGTTATGGGGAGATGAGATGAGAGGCAGGCTAGGCAGAGGGGTGATCTCAGGTCAGGAGTTCTTTGCAAAAGAGAGGAGAGACGCCACTTCGGCTCCACATGCTTCCTCCTTTCTCCAGGACTACAGCGGGGTCAAGAGCGCTCAGGTGTGCCAGTCCCCACACCTCCACAGATGCACCGCAGAACTCGGGAGCCAGAATTTACCTTATTGTAACAGGGCAGATGACTGCCTTCTGGAGGCTGATCGAAGCTGACAGGCACCTCCTCGGCCTCGTTAGACAGAGACTTCACGCCAGGGCTGCTGGGGGTAGAAGGTGGGCTGTGAAACGGTGACACCATGGCCTTGAGTCCAGGACTCCTGGGGGAGGCCCCGGGCAGTAGAGCCGCTGGGTCAAAGGTCAAGTTGGCCTGTCAAGAAAAGACAAACAGGGTTGGGAGATGAGAGCTTAGCTTCTTTCTTTAGCCTCCTGATTCATCGGCCTCAGAACCGCTGAGAATGGGTAACACAAGGCCTCAGAACTGGTTGAGTCTGGGTAACGCGAGGCTCTTCGTGGTATGTCCCAGCCAGGTCTCCATGGTCACAGCATGTCCTGCCCCTGGAAGCATTGCCTGCTTAGCCCACCTCCTGCTCCCTGGCTTGCCGGAGCTGTGTTCCAGAATGCTCGGGCAGCACTGACATGGGTCCAACCAGCATTTCCCAGAACAGCCCCAACTCATAGACAAAGTAGCTGGAAAAGCACCTGCAGGCAGCCCCGCACTCCAGGACCTCGAGGACAGTCAGCCCCCGTGGTCATCTTTCTCATCAGAATCAGCAGGAGTCACTGTGTCCTGTCCGACCTACACGTGCAGTTGTATTCTCACTGCACAAACCATGAGTGTGGTTGAAAGTCCCGCCCCAAGATTCCTGCTGGTCTGTGGGTCCCTCAAGCCTCCAGCTGCCAGGCTCCCTCTTGGTGAACAGCAGCGTGAGGGACACAGTGGGCCGCTGAGTCTTCCAGGAGGGAGGCCACAGAATACATCACACTGTTTGTCACCACTTGGGGCTTCATGGTGAGGGTGACACCACATCAAAATGAGCCCTGAGAACAATCATATTCGAGAGTTACCCAGGTAACCAAAATCTGAGGGAGTGTTGAGTTTGGTGGGGGAGGAGGCGGGTGGTCCCAGATCCACCCTATCTATCGACAAGGAGAAGGTGCCTGAAGGTGTCCTGGAGGGAATGTGCGTGGGTGGCCAGGTCCCCTCTAGGGCCATGGGGCACTCCTCCTCCTGCCTTCTGTGTCCAGATCACCATACAGCTTCATCCTGCAGCCCTGCGTTCTCAGCATGATGGACATCTCAGGGAGACGCTGTGGAGACTGCCCCGTCCTCCACAGGTAGCCCATGGCCAGACACCAGAGATGCTTGTCTTAACCCCCATCAGGCTGGGATCCAAATCCCCGGGCCCTCCCACGGCTGGGAGCTGCAGAGGCAGCGGCTACTTGTCTTGACACCCAGTGATGACTTCAGAATGCTGTTGGCCAGTGTGCCTAGCTGGGTCTGACTGGGAGAAGCCTTCTCCTTCTCCTGGGTGGTTGGACAGAGGCTGTAGTAAAAAGCAGGAGCGCCCCCTATTCCCCCCCCACTGCACCTGGACGTCACACCCCCACCCCTCCCCTGTGCTTTGGTTCATACAATTCTCACACCAAGAGTAACTTCCTTCCTCCTTCCCAGCCACCCATCCTTGAAGGATACCCAGGGCAGGGCATGGGTGTTGCATAAAGCATTCATTTAATGACTCCAGCCCACTCTACTCTCTTCTTGCTCTGAAGTTCTATGGTAGTAGTTCTCACCTTGGGTGGGAGACAGTTTTGCCCCCAGGGCACATCTGATAGTATCTGGAGGCATTTTTAATTGTCACAACTTGTTGGAGAGTGCTGCTGGCACCTAAACCTCTTGCAACACACAAGACAGCCACGGTGACAACATTCTCCAGCTTGGATCGCGCCAAGGCTGAGAAACTTCAGCAGCAGGAGCAGCGTGGTGACACACAGTGGAGATCACTGGTGTTGACTCCTGTGTCTTTCATTGTATCAGGCATGAAAGCCTTGTTTACCCAACAAGACTCAGGTCCCCGGGCCAGGGTTTTCTGCTTCATTTACAGTCCCAGGGAGCCAGCCCAGTCCTGGGCACAAAGGGTGAGGGCTCTGGGCACATGGGGTGACTGACAGAGAGATGGGGAAGAATGCTTCCCAAACAAGGAAGTTGGCCGTGCCAGAGCAGCATGCTGCAGTTAATTTCAGCCCTGCGTACGGCGGAACTGGTTTGTGGTTGCATTCAGGCTTTGAAGGAGAGAGCGTGGCTATTTCTGAGAGTTTCTGGCAACCATAATGTCCCTTTCCACAAGTCTCTTGAGGGACCCCATAGTCCACCAACCACCGAGCATGAGGTAAGAACTACATGAGCTTGTGCTTGGTGTGGCCCTTATGGTAGCCCCTTGCCCCAAGTGAGGGCTGTGAGATCCACACCCTTTGGGGCAATTTGGTTACCAGCTGGTTACCAGCTGCCCAACTATCTGAGTGACACAGGGGCTACCCCTAGGAGCTCCAGAGACATGCAGATTTGGGATAAGAAGTGTCTTGGACAGAAGGTCGCCATGGGTAACGCGCACTGCACTCACCTGAAGCTTCTCAATCAGAGGCGAGCTCTTCACCTTGACTTTGGGAGGGTGGCTTGCATTGGGTGGTGATTTCTATGGAACAAATGAACCAGAACGACCAGATGAGTGAAGCGAAAGGAGGTGGGCTTCGGGCAGGAGCCCAGAAGCTCAGGCGGAGGAGGAGAAGAGAAGCTGGTGCCACCACTCTGTGACTTCCTTTCAGAAGTCCACTTAACTCCCTAGGGCCTGGGTGAGGTGGGCTCCCTGTCCCCCTCCTTGTCCCCCTCCCTTATCTCCCTATGGCGAGACCACTTGAATCTGAGCCAGTCGAGCGGACATCCTTAGCACCAAGGGACTCTCCCGGAAGAATGACTTCACCGTCATTATGAGGGAAAACTTGAGAGGGAAAAGAGGTAAACCTCATGATCTTCAACAATGGGAATTGGCTACAGGTGGGGGAGAGGCTTTTCAAAGATAAAGGGCAAAAGTGACCATTCTGCTCATCACAAACAGAACAGGAAAACACGGAGCAGGAGTGAAACCTGACAGAGGCATTATTGAAATTCCTCCCTTAAACTAATGACATTTTGGAAAATCCCACCAATGGCATTGTTTATAAATTATCATTTTCCAAAGCACTGGATATTCATTTTAATGAAGCAGACATTGATTGAGTCTCTACCACATCCAGACCTTGTGTTGGTTATTTAAAGATGAATATGACCTAGTCTCTGCCCCCCAGCAGTGGTCAGTGGCTGATACATGTGCAACATAATTGTACATATGCTCTGTTCATTGTAAATATTTTTGTGAAGAATGTATATCAGGAATCTTGTCTGTCTTTGAGTTCTGCGTTATTTAAAATGACTGACTCCTTGTTTTGTGTGAAACCCCTACAACTACGTGAGAGTGATGGCAGTAACGTGATGATGACAAAGAAAAGGAAGACTTTTATGTGGTGAGACAGAGGCCAAGGCAGAGAAAGGATTTTCCTACGGCTTGGAGACTACCGTGTATTACCTGCCTCTCACCTGCACACGCATGAATCATAAAAAGAAGAATCACATGAATGTCTTAGAAATATTCTGAGGTATTTATTGAGTGAGATCATTGCATTTGGGTGATAAAAGGAGGGAGACTCAATCAGCTGAACTCCATGTGACCTAAAGGCCCTGCATGAAGAAGAACAGGTTAGAGAGGGACAGGCACTGGCTGGGACTCAGGAGACACCCCCTTTGTAATTCTAGCTCTGGCAGGAGCCAAGCAGATGCCCCTGGCCTCAGCCTCCTCTACCAAGATACATGATTCCAAGGACTCTTGTAGCTCTAAGGTGCCTCTGTCTCCAGGAGTTTCCACGTCAGATGCATTCCCTAGAGCAGCCTTTCAAGGAGCCTTTTGTCTACGGTGAGTACACAGAGATTGCAGCCATAACTGGTTGCCCTAAGTTTCTGAGTTCCATGGTGAAATTTCATACGGGCTGGGGTTTTGGAAACTACCTCAATAATTTTGCCAATAAAGCTCACGTCATGTAATGTTTTAACGGACCACTGTCTTCAGAAGACAGTAGAAGTTCAGTAGATAATGCCTCCTTAGTCCCCAGGACGGCACTGGGAACCCAGCTGATGCTCCAAACCCTTAGGGATTTGACCTGCAAAGCAGAAAGAATTCAAAATAGCCACTGATGCAGTGCCTGAGGTGGGCAGCAGGTGGCAGCATTTCCTTTACGGTTTAACAAGGGGCTCCAGGCAAGTGGCTAGGACTAAGATGATTGGTGGAGGAAAAACAGTCCCACATTCCTATATGTGTGTGTACATGTATTTATGTGACACCTCTAGAAATTATGGACCTGATTCTTCATACGGGAATGATTTTCAGTATTTTTCTGAGCAGATGAGGCAGGATCTGAGATTCTTCCAGAGAGGGGTAACTTCTGATCACCCTATCGGCTGTTGTCAGGGGACTGGTCCCACCCCTCAGGCCTGAGCAAGTGAGGGAGGGGGAGGGGTGAAGAAGGGATGGAGTGACTCTTCCTAGCACTGTGCATCAGGATGCGAGGGTCTGCCTGACAGGGACCCCCCTGCAGGCCCCCAAGGTCTCTGGCGTCAGGGCTCGTACGGTTTTTCTGGCATGTGGGCTGACCTATGTGGGGACACGGACAGGGAGATGTAAGCAGCAGCCTCCAGTGAGCCCTGTCAGACACAGCTGGCCACTCATTTTATTTCTACGTGGATTTCAAGGCAACAAGAAGCCATCGACCCCTGCAGTAATGTCCTTCCTATGTGCAGGCAGCCTGTCACTCCAGGCAGGACTTCCTAAAATCCACCCTCCTACTCACCCAGTCCTTCACCATTACACAGGTGGCGTGCCCTTGGGGAACCAAACCTGTACAATTTCTTTCCCCAGAGCCACTGAAATAGCTGTTTAATCCAATCACCACTAACTCGACTCACCCCACTCTTACTCCAGGGAATAAAACTTCCCCCCAGCCTCTGTGGTCTATCTGGTTAGTGGTTTTGTCTTCATTGTGTGTGTGTGTGTGTGTGTGTGTGTGTGTGTGTGTTCTGTTGTTGTTTGTTTGTTGAGTTGGAGTCTCACTCTGTTGGCCAGGCTGGAGTGCAGTGGTATCATCATAGCTCACTGCTGCAGCCTCGACTTCCTGGGCTCAGGTGATCCTTCTGCCTCAGCCTCCAAAATAGCTGGGACCACACATGTGCACCACCACACCTGGCTAATTTTTATTTTTTATTTTTTTGTAGAGACAAGGTCTCACTGTGTTGCCCAGGCTGTCTTGAACTTCTGGGCTCAATGATCCTCCTGCCTTAGCCTTCCAAAGTGCTGGGAGTACAGGCATGAGCCACCACACCCAGCCTTGTCCTCATCTTACAAATTAGGAAACAGATTTAGCAGGGTGCAGTAACTTCCCCTGTGCCAAGTCCAGGTTATGAGGGGCAGCCTCACATTAAGCTCCAAATGGTCACAGCCTCTGCCTACTGCATGGCAGCAGACATCCCAAGCCCAGAGGGTAAGGGTTATGAGGAGAAGTTGATACTCTGTAAAGAGAAGTTGTTAGTATGGATTTGTCTGGTAGCCCCGCAAAGCCAGAGTCACTTTGAAGAGACTCAGCAGAAACCTTGGTGTTTAAGCATATGTCATCCTTGGGGTTGTCATCTCAGAATAAGACCTTTGTTTGGTGGGGCAGTTGGGAGAAGGAGAGGTCTTCTCAGATTGTATGGGGCTCAGGGCCCCCTCCTCACCCCTTTGACCCATTTCTGCTTTATCTGATGGGCTTCTGCTTATAAGCCTCGGGTTGGCAAAGAGGTTTGCAAATTATTGATCTAGTTCAACTGTCTCAGTGGTAGACAGGAAGATGCAGGCACCAAGAGGCTCACCCGAGGTCACATGGTCCCCAGCGTCCATTGTTGGGATGCTGGTCCCCAAAAAAGAAAGGGAGAGAAAAAGAGGTGATGGCAGTAGGCTTTGGGAGCTGAGCTGTCCTCAGCTAGCTTGCTCTGCTTGGGGTTGGCCTCCCAGGCTGGATGACAGAACATGCAAGCTCGTTTCTGGTACAGACTGTGACCCCTTGGTCCTTGGGCTGCTGGGAGGGGTGGGGAGAAGCCGCTCCGACAGTCACTATGAGATAAATGAGGAGACAAATGAGCAGGCTGGAACCAATTGCTGTCTGTGATCTATGGCACCAGAGCCTTTTATGATGTTGACAGTGTGAGCTGTTTATGCCAACCAGGCCTCCTGTGTGTTCTGGTTTTTATTTTCTTTTTTGGGGGGGGAGGGGTGAGGTCTCACTCTGTCACCCAGGCTAGAGTGCAGTGGTACGATCACAGCTCACCACAGACAGCCTCAACCTCCTGGGCTCAGGCGATCCTCCCACTTCAGTCTCCCAAGAAGCTGGGACCTCAGGTGTACATCATCACATTAGCTAATTTTTAAAAATTTTTTTTGTAGAGATGAGGTCTTGCTACGTTGCCTAGGCTGGTCTTGAATTCCTAAGCTCAAGGAATCTTCCCACCTTGGCCTCCCAAAGTGCTGGGATTACAGGTGCGCACCACTGCGCCTGGCCCCTCTAGTTTTCTTCTGATGATCCAGCAAAACGGCCAGCTTTCCCGAGGGTCCTGCAGAGCCATGGATTCCCTTGCTACAGTTCTGCCTTATGCAAGTGTGGCCCCCTTCATACCGAATCCAAGATCATCTAAATCAGACATGGGAACAAGGCACGCGTTCCTGACTCCTGAGGCTGCTCTGTTAATAACGTGTCCTCAGGCTGCTTAGGGTCCCCTGGGTTAACAACTCCCCAAGCAGCCTCTTGGAATTAGTCTCTTCCCCGAGTCTGTCCCCTTCTAACAGAGCCCAATCTTTAATGAATGAAGCCGACGCACTTCTCAAAAAAAATAAATCAATAAAATAATGTGTGTCCACAGTCTCAGGCTTGAGAAATAGTGTTCCTGTCCCTGCCGAATCACAGAGGAGGCCCAGGATGGGGGAGGAGAGAGGAGGCTCATCTCCTAGGAAAAGGCTTCAGGAAGCAGTTGAGGGAGGACACTCCCCGCCAGGTCTGAAATGGAGACACTCCCTGCACAGACCTTGAGATTCAAGTGTCAGTTTGACACCGCTTCCTACAAGGGAGAGGGAGAAGACCCGTCCTCTGAGCCCCCGGCCGCACTTACCTCCTCACCATTCTGGCCCGGCTCTACCTTGGGGGGAAACAGGGGGAGGGAACAGGGTGGTTTCCTTCTTGTTGGTTTATTGGCTGGTGTCTGGAGGGAGGGCGACAGACAGACACACAGAGAGAAAAAGAGAGAGAACTGATCAGGCAACAGGAGGGAAGAGGAAGAAGTGGAAACCGGGTTAGGAATGTTGTAGGATTCAGGAATGATTCGGGATGTTTAGGGTGTCAGGGATGCTTAGGAGAGTTTCAGAGTGGAGGAAGGGACATGACGTGACTTCAGGACGGCTCACGTACTGTTGAAATTAGCTCTAGTTAATGGTCCACGCATTGTGACTTTCAGTCTCTCCTCTGCCGTTCCTTTCCTGCTAGAACGTCCCCTTGAACTTGAGATTCACTGCTCTGAGCCGGCACCTCAACCTGAAGTCTATGTTCAGCTTCTGGGCAGTGCCAGCAGCTTAGATCAAGGCTACCTTCTGTATCCTTTGTGACATTGCTGGAATGTCTACAAATATGGATCCGATTTTTCAGATGAGAAAAGCACAAAACAGTGCAGTTAAAAAAGCAAGGCAACTGAGTTCCCGCTGGTCCCAAGGGGCCTTGCAGATCGCCCTCTACCTTGGTGCGTCCTCCCCTCTTCTCACCCCTCGTGAGCTCCTCACACTGCGGGACTGGAGAGAATCTAGTCCAAATCCCTCCCAAGTTAGAATGCCCTTCCACACTGCTTCTCAGGGTCACCGGTCCCCTTTCCTTCCTGAACCCCGGTTTCCTATCTGAACATGCTTCCCCTCACATCCTCTCTCCCTTCTCAGTTCTCTATTCCAGAATGTGCCTCAGGGTTGCTTTGGCCCCTGACTCCAGCCCTTGGGGCAGGAGCCTGGTGTGGGGACTTCTTTGTCCCGAACCAGTCCAGGCCTGGCACGGCTGTGCACCGTCTAAGTCTGTATGGTGGGTGACCAAGATCATAACGAGTCCAGGCCGGGCGACGTGGCTCACGCCTGTCCTCCCAACACTTTGGGAGCCCAATGTAGGAGGATTACTGGAGCCCAGGAGTTGGAGACCAGCCTGGACAACACAGCAAGACATTGTCTCTATAAGAAATTTAAAAAATCAGCTGGGTGTCGTGACATGTGCCTGTAGTCCCAGCTACTCAGGGGGCTGAGGTGGAAGGAGCAACCAAGTCAAGGAGGTCGAGGCTGCAGAGAGCTGTGTGTGTGCCACTGCACTCCAGCCTGGGCAACAGAGTGAGATCCCGACTCAAAAACAAAAACAAAAACAAAAACAAAAAACAAAGAAAAGAAAAGAAAAAGAAAAAAGAAAAGACAACAAGCCCAGATGCCATCTCCGGTGGGCATGCCTTTCAGCTGTCTGCCCTGCTTCTGGTGGGGAGAGATTCTGCCCAGGCACAGCAGTCGTGGGACATTCCTTACATTCAGAGGGACCCTCTCAGGCTTACTCTTCCTAATTTGGTCATCGCCAAGCCTCCTCCCCTCCCCCGCCCCTTGTTCAGACCTCCCCTTCCTCCAGCCTCCCTCCCAGAAGGTGAGGCACCAGAGCCTCCGGACTCACCTCCTTAGCAGCAGCCGTCTGCTCCCTGAAGCGCCCGGCCAGTTGGGCCACCGAGGGGGGCGCCGAGTTGTCCACGTTGGCATGGGTCTCTGCCGGCCTTTCCTGGCAAGTCAAGGAGAAGCAACAGTTAGTCAGTGTGTGTGCACTAGGCTCGTGACGATGTCGGGTACCAGGTGCCATGAAAGGCACTTGACTTGTGCTGTGACAAAGAAGAGTTTCCACAGCACCTCCCCATTAGCTCCTTTGTTCAAGGATTTCAGAAAACTACACAGCCAGCCGCATTTAGGGAAGAAGATCTGCAATGTGCTCGACCTGGGACTGGGAGACAAGTGAAGCTTGGTCTTGTCCTGGAGGACATCAGGGATCTTGGAGGTGGCCCAGGCCCCAGGTTTCTCATTCCTCTAAGACCCTGTGGGAAAAGGGCTATAATGGTGATAGCATGGGAGTCACCTTCTCTTGTTCAGCTCTGGAGGTTTGCCACATGCTGTTGGGGAGGGAGGTTTTGGAACATAGGAAATGGGGAGAACACATGCCTTTTATTGAACTTTCATACCTGCCTCTCTGGGTTACTGGCTCTTTTTCCTTCCTGAACCCTGGTCTCCTCTCTGAACGTGGCTCTCTTCACATTTTCCCTTCCTGAGGCTGAGGCGGAAGGATATGTGTGGTCTTCCCTACTTAACTGAGTGCCTTGGGTGGGTAGCAAAGCCAGTGGGAGCCAGACTGCCTGGGTTCAATCCCTGACTCACTCCCTCTGGTACCAGCTTGGGGACCTGGGGCCAATGGCGGGACTCTCTGTGCCTTGACAGGTATCATAGTAGCACATCACCCCTAAGGTTGCTTTGTGTGCTAAATGATTGACTGTGTGTCCACTGTGCTGGGACAAGATGTGGCACACTGCATTAGAAGGAGGACGGATGCTCACTGGCAGTGGTCCTGCCTCTAGTTCAGGTCATGAGTCTACTATGGCCGTCTCTCCCTCAAAGTGCCTCCAGGCTCTCCCAAGAGGCCAAGGTGCATCTTAGGACACCATTTACTCCCGTGTGCCATTTGTTACCAAGACCCAGCAGGTGAGTCTGCGATGCTGAAAATGAGCCCCCCACTTCTGCCTTGTTTTGCTAGGCCTACGTAACCATCTAGTTTTTTTTTTTTTTTTTTTAAGTCCAGCTCTCACTCTCATCCAGGCTGGTGCAGTGGCACAATGATGGCTCATCGCAGCCTCAACCTCCCGGGTTCAGGTGACCCTTCTGCCTCAGACTACCAAGTAGCTGGGACTACAGGTATGTGCCACCATGCCTGGCTAATTTTATGCTCTTTTGTAGAGAGGAGGTCTCACCATGGTGTACAGGCTAGTCTCAAGCTCCTGGACTCAAACAATCCTCTCATTTGGCCTCCCAAAGTGCCGGGATTACAGGTGTGAACCACCACGCCCAGCCACCATCTAGTTTTAATAATGTCTTTTACATGTCCAGTTCCAGAGACGTGAGGCTTTTGTCTTCTTTTGTCACCGTGATGGAGGTATTTCTTACACAGACTTCGAACCCCCCTGCCACCGTGTCCCCTCCTCAATGTCTAGCCTGAAATTGGGCTGGTTTGGGCAGCAGTTTGAGAAAGTCCATCTCCGCCTCTCCATGGGTCACCTGGCCCATAGAGACAGGGCACACCTCCCTCCTATACAACATTCACACACACACACACACACACACACACACACACACACACACACACACACACACACATCCATGGCCCTCCTGTTTGTGCTGAATGGTGTCTCCAAGATTTCGTATTTCAGCACTTCCTCTGGAGTGAATGTCACGAGCCATCCTATGATGTCCCCGCGGAGCGAGGGAGGGCCAGGTGCCCCTACCTCCCACCAACTTGCAGCAGTGAAGTTAAGTCAATGGGGGCCAAGTTTCGCGAAGATGGCTTTATGTAGAGATGGGAAAGGCCCACTGGGCCATGGCCCTTCTGACCTATTGACCGTGTGCTGGAGGAAGAGGCAGGCACGGTTGCCTGTTGGCGTTCAAGGTCCTCCCATTCCAACCAAAACCCCACATGCTGATTCTGTTTGAAGATGAAAAGGGATTTGCCTCTATCCAAGATGTCCTACTTCCCCATGAGGCTGGGGGACGCCAGGGAGTTCAGTGCCCCTGGCTGGTGCCCCACCCACACACTTGCCACACTAGTTACAGGCAGAGGCGAGCCCCTTGTCCTTCCAGAACTGTGATCAGAGAGGCTCGAGGACAGTGTGTGATGATTGAGCTGTTCTTGGCAACGACGCAGGACTGATTAGTTTGTCCATCTGTCCAGCTTCCTGCCCAAGTGACGGATTGGTCTCTCCGGCCACTGCTATTTATTGCTCAGGCCCCGCTGACGGTGCCTTTCACCTCGGCTTCAAAGATGCCAATCACTAGCGGTGCGGGAGGATACATTCCAGTTAAAAATAGAGCCACATGGGAGTCAAAAGTACCTCCTAACTTCCCTGTCTCAAAACTGGCCTTGGCAAGGGCTCGGGAGTAAGAGAACTATGAGGCTTCTGGAAGCATTTAGGGCTTAAAAGCTGGGTTGAAGAAACTATTATAATATGTCTGAGTTTGTTTTCCTGGAGACCCGTGAATGGATTTTCTTGAGATCGTCTGAGGACTCCAGAGCTTGTTTAAGCCTGGCAAATCCACCCATGGCCAGCCCCGTTCCAGACACTTCTCATCCTCTGTTGCCAAAGACTGGCTGAATGATTGTTGCCTTCTGCCCACTGGGCACATTAAAGCCCAGAGAAAGCAAGTAACTTGGCCAGAGTCACACAGGAGAAGCCAAACAAGACCGTCTGTGAAACACTTGACTCCAACTTCTGACAACCCAGAAACGGACGGTAGTTAAATAGCATCATTTGTGATTAAGTACATCATTGAAAACTGTAAAGTGCCATACAAATCTCAAAATCATGATTAGCCACTGGGTTGGGTAGGTAGGATGGAAAAGCATGGCCATGGCGAGGGATAGGATGTCAGTGCAGCCCGTCTGGGGCTCTACCTTGCAGTTCTGGGAGGTGCGACTACTAACCTTGGCCAGTGGTCTCGGCGCCACAGCCCTGGGCCAGAAGCTGTCTCTGGGCCCTGAGGCTGTCTTGGTAAGGCCATACTCTTGCCCTGATTGTGGTCTTGGTTCTGAGAAGGACTTTGGCGTCCCTGCACAGACTCTCCTGGGCTCCAGCAGCTCCCCAGGATTAAAATATTCTTTCTGTGCTCCTATGATGTCCATGAAGTACTTAGCACAGCACCTGAAACATAGGCTATGCCCATTTGCCCAGGAAGAAACTAGATCAGGTTCTTCCTCCTCCTCCCATCCAACCCAGTCTGCTGGTCTCAGGGCAACCTGATCCCAGTGTCCCAACACCCTTGACTCACTGCTGTGGACCACACCCAGAGGCAGGTCCCTCTGTGGACCACACCAGATCAAAGTCCTGCATCGGCCCTCTGGCTCTTGGCCTTGACCTCATTCTTGGGCCAATCTCCACATCTTTTTTTTTGAGTTGGAGTCTCACTCTGCCGCCCAGACTGGAGTGCAGTGGCCGCTCCTGGCCACCGCAGCCTCGACCTGCTGGGCTCCGGCGATCCTTCCGCTTCAGCCTTCCAAGTAGCTGGAACTACAGGCGCGCGCTACCACGCCTGGCTAATTTTTGATTTATTGTAGAGATGAGGTCTCGCCAAGTTGCCCAGGCAGGTCTCAAACCCACGGGCTCAGGCAATCCACTCACCTCAGCCTCCCAAAGGCGCGGGATTACAGGTTGAGCCACCAAGCCTGGCTCCACATCTTAAATTTATTTTCTGTACTCATCTCTCTGGGTGTCCTGCTTTTGTTCACGCCTGTCTTTACAGAAGTAGCTTGCACTTCATCTTCCTGGGCCCAGGTCCTCCCTGCCAGGCCCTCCCTGCCACCATTCCAGCCAGGCTGTGCCAGCTAGCTCGGAAACCACGCCTGTGTGACTGTCTTTCTTTGCTGAGGCCTGGAGAAAATCACCTCTGCTGTTGGCTCTCCATTTCTATAGGACTTTCTTCAGAGAACTGAGGAGCTCTGTGTCTGGGTGGCATGAAACTTCCCCCACATGTTGCCACACTGGGGACATGCAATTTGGATGCCGTGGACCATCCACATAATGCAACCTTTGTGTACTGGCCAGAGTTAGGCTCTACCTCCCTCCCCGCTCTGCCAGGGTTCTCCACCCTTCTCCTTGGTCCAGGGTTTAAGTAGTTCAGTTTCTGGGTCACAGTTTAGGGAAAAAAGGCACCTTGTGAAAGAACAAGAAATGAGAGGACCGACCCCGGGGCTGAGAAACCGTGGTCCTGACTAAAAGGAAGGTTCACTTGCTCACCTGAAACAGGCCAGAAAACCCAGAGCCCTGAAAGTATAAGGCAACTTCATGCCTCCAGAACCAAAGCGAGTTTTAAGACAGTCATTCAAAGTGCTCCCCCACTTCCAGAGTGACTATGCTTAAGCCACAGCTCAAAAGGATCAACACAGAATCTCTCTGGGGGGGCTTCAATGACTCCAGAATCTTCCTTCACAACCCTATCTTATCTTCATGTCCTCAGTCCATCCCAGTGCTTGATTACCACCATCTCTGAATGGTGGAAAAGGCGGTGGGGACCCAGGTATGTCCCTCCCACTCACCTATCTACCTAGAGCATCTCCCATGGGGGCAGCACTGTCCTCATAGCAGTTGGCATATTTCTGTAATTCTTAGCTCTTCTATAAGAGGAAGCCGGGCTCAAAGTGGCCAAGTGACTTGCTATTCAAGTTAGTGAGTGCGAGTATGAGAATTTTCTAGATCCCAAAGCTCTGGCTTTTTCCACACCCACATGCTGTACTAACCCTACACCTTCCCTGGAAGAGTTATCTTATTCACTCACTCATCAATAACATTTCCTGTCCTGGGGCTTGGGGTGTATCAGGGATTAGGACAGTCTTTGCCCTTCAGGAGTTAGGAGTTGCTATTCCAGCAATAAACATACACATAGCTAAACACATATGATCATTTGTTAAATGCTATGAAAAAACAGGGCACTTTTGTTTTTGTTTTTTTAAGAGACAGGGTCTTGCTCTGTGGCCCAGGCTAGAGTACACTAGTGCCATTGTAGCTCACTACAAGCCTTGAACTCCTAGGCTCAAGTGGTTCTCCCACCTCAGCCTCCCAAGTCATTAGGATTGCAGATACACACACCACCACGCCAGGCTAATTTTTTTTTTCTTTTTGGTAGAGACGAAGTCTCGCTATGTTGCCCAGGCTGGTTTAGAACTCCTGGCTTCAAGGGATCCTCCTGCCTCGGTCTCCCAAAATGCTGGGATTATAGGTGTGAGCCCTGCACCCAGCTGAGGGCACTTATTTCCTTTTCTTTTTAATGGGAGTGTGGGAGGACTCCTCTGAAGAAGGATCCTCTGAGTCAAATCCTGGTTGGGGAAAGGAGAGGTGGAAAATCGTTCTGAGCAAAAGCACAAACAGAAACAAAGATCAAAGGGCAGAGAAAGAGAGGTGTGACAGGAATGTGCTGTGTGCCGCAGAGGGTGGGGGACAGGAGAGGTGGCCTGCGGACAGCTCCATGGGACCCTGGGGACCAGAGTGAACCAGCGGGACATCGTTTGGAGGGTTTCAAGGAGGAACATGACCAGAGTCACACATCGAGGGCTGTCTGTGGAGGAAGGGCAGAAGTGGGAGCAGACAGAGCAGGGGGCAGGGCTGGCATCAGTCTCACTGAGACGGCCGGGGGTGGACCAGGTTTGTGCAATGGGATGGGGTTTGGAGGCAGGACTGTGGGGATTACTGATGTAGTGGGTGTGGGGAGGAAGGGCTGGGGGAATCCTGGATGGCTCCTGGGTGTTTGACTTGGGTAACGGGATGCATGGGGCACTTTCTTTTGTACTGGAAAGGCTTGTTGGGAGAGCGATGTGAGAACAGTTCATTCCTGGTCATGAAATCTGTAATGTCCTGGCTGAGTGTGATGGCTCACGTCTGTAATCCCAGCACTTTGGGAGGCCAAGGTGGAAGTACTGCTTGAGTCCAGGAGTTCAAGACCAGCCTGGGCAACATAGTGAGACCTCATCTCTACAAAAAAAATTTTTTTAAAAATTAGCCAGGCATGGTGGCATATGACTGTAGTCCCAGCTACTCAGAAGACTGAGGTGGGAGGATCACCTGAGCTCAGAAGGTGAAGGCTGCAGTGAGCTGTGATCCTGTCAGTGCACTCCAGTTTGGGTAATAGAATGAGACCCTGACTCAAAATCACAATACAAAAAAATGAAGGTGGTTCTGAGTTTGAACCTTAAAAAAAATGAAAGAAAGAAAGGAAGTCTGAAATGTTCATTAGACATGCAAATGGAGATGCAGTAGAGGATGCTGCATCCACACCCAAGTCTGGAGTTCAGAGGAGGGGTTCAGGCTGGAAACAAAACTTTGAGAGTCACTGTTAGAGATGGGAGTTGAAGTCATAGGACTGCAAAAAATCAGAGGAAACACAGAACAAGGACAAACAGAGTTCCAAAGACTGAGCTCTGGGTTTTCTTCTTACTCACACTGAGCTGCATTTTCATTCACAGGGATGAGGAGGCTGCCCCTATTATTCCAGTGGAAGTCCGGAAGACATTCTGGTGTAGGCTGCAGATAGGATGGGTCAGGGCCAGAAGGGCTCTCTGGCTAAAGCGACAGAAGGTAAGAAGCCCTGAATCCAAAAGTGGCTGTGGCCCTCCCACCTATGCTGAAGCCCTGAATCCACACATGAATGTCCTCCCTCACCCATGCTGAAGCCTTGAATCCACACATGTTCCCCCATCCATGCTGAAGCCCTGAATCCACATATGAATGTCCCCCCATCTGTGGTGAAGCCCTGAATCCACACATGAATGTTCTCCCATCCGTGCTGTTGGGTCATTATTCACTGTTTCCTGAGCATCTATAAACACTGTAGAATGAACTAGGGGGACAGTGACGGCCCTCAGGGCATGAAGGCTTTTGGGGACAGATGTAGAGGAGACAAAGAAGAACAAAAAATAGATAAGACCGAAGAATAGAAACTGTTGTATGTGAACAAACACGGGTGACCAAATATTTCACACAAGGCCGAAAAAGTCCCCTACCTACCACTTGTAGGCTTTAGGGATCTGAGCATGGCACCCTCCCTAGTCCCTTTGCAACTCTCTCCCACAGAAGACCCCTGCAAAGTGCTCCCCTCACACGAAGGACCTGCAGGCACTGACCCCCGGGGTCGTGTCCCTATTTGGGACCTTCAGAACTCCTTCAAAGATTCACAATTATCCCTGTCTGCCCTGGCAGGGCATGCTGACAGTTTTATAGTGCCCTGTGGAGGGAGTAGCACAGAGTTCAGGCTTTGAGTTGGGTTGCCTGAGTTCAAACCCAGACTCCCCACAGTTGCTAGTTCTGTGGCCTTGGACAAGTTGCCTAACGTCTCTGTGCTTCGGACTGCCTATCTCTAAGAGGGAACTGCTGATGGTAGTACCTATGTTATAACATCATTGGAAGGACTTAATGAGTTTAGGCATAGGAGACAGGCCTGGCATGTGGGAAGTGCTTGATTATTGTTAGCTAATGTTGGCTCTGGGGCTAACAGCCCCCGGCCCCCCAGGACACTGAAGGATGCTCAAGCTTATGCTTGTTCCTGGCCTTCTCTAGTCCTTCCATTCTCTCTGGTGTGCAGGAGTCTCACAGAACCCCAGCTGGCAAAGATGGGCTCCCTGCTGCTTCCGGTCATCCTTTGCTCAAGAGTGGGACATCTTGACTCAGCCATCTTGATGCACCATTTTATTATCAAGACAGGAGATTAACAGACACTCTCACCCTATCCCTGAACTCATCATCCCTGAGAAACTGATATGCATGATATCTAGCAATTTAAAAAACAAATAAAGCTAAGTTTAATTTTATGGCTTTTAGGGTCATGACACAGGTCCTGAAGACCCACACAGCCCAGCTGTCCAAAGCTCCGTGTCAAGTCAAACAGCTGAACCAAAATATCAAGTCCAGGTCCATTCATGGGGGAACAAGAAACAAAATGTGATCTAGCCATACAGTGAAATACTTTTCAGCTCTAAAGAAGAATGAAGCTTTATTACATACTAAATGTGACAAGCCTTGAAAGCATCCACTAAGTGAAAGATGCCAGTCATAAAAGACCACATGTTATATGATTCCAAGGCTACAAAATGTTCAGAACAGGCAAATCGACTGAGACAAAATGTTCAGAACAGGCAAA